TTCTTCTCAAGTATAATTTAAAATTAACCTCCTATTCAATTAAATATCGCAGACCTAATGTGTGGAAAAAATTCCCAGATATTGTCAACAAAAACAAGACTACATTAGAGCAATTTAAAAATGAATCAAAACAATTATTACTATTCAGGGATCTTAATTCATCTGACTTCAAATGTTTATTTTAAAGTTTAATGAAATAAAAACAAATTTATTTATATCAATGAAATTTAAGGAATGGTGTTAAAAATTCATCTTGTGATAATGTTAACTACGAAATTTTTTTTTAATTAATTTAAAACCTTTTGTTTAAATGATTTTTAAATATTTTAGTGGTTGTTAGCATTTCAACAATTCTTAATTATTTGCTATTTTGAATTTCTTAATTTTCTCAGTTATTTTCTGTTTTAATTCTGATCTATATTTTATATATTTGTATTATATATATTTGTATGTTACGGTTATGTAGAGTTTTTTTTTATGCAGAGTTTTTTTTTATATGTGGGGCTCGGCGATAAGGCAAACTGTGCCTTCTTCTTGCTCCTGCCATTAATTTTGATATATGTATATGCAATGTAAACATTCTTTAACGGCGAAATAAATTACACCAAAAAACAAAAAAACTAAACTCTATTAAAACATCTTCTAAAAGATCTACGTAATTTCTTGCATTCATTTTTGTTGTAATAAAACATATTGGAATTTTGCCGTGGAAACAGAATGCGGCCCACACCATAATTGTCCCTCCTCCGAAGTTACGACTCATTGCGATGCTATCTTTTTTTTAAAATTATGCCAATAACACTTAAAACCATTAGGCCCATCTAAGTTAAACTTTTTTTCGTCGGAAAAAATAACATTTTCCTATTCTGCATCAGTTCTTATTTGTCTTGCAGTTCGTATTACGGTTGACACCAAACGCAAAATGTAAGAATGTTGCCTTTTGGTTGTTTTTTTATTTCTGCCCTTAAAGTGATTTTTGTCGTAATCTTTACCTAAATTTATTGTTCACTGTATGATGATACCTGTTCACTGCATGATGAGACCTTTTGATTTTCTTTGCATTTTCTCGATTGGACAAACCCATATCTTTGTAAGCAACAATTTTTGCTTTTTCTTTCTCATTTAACACCTTTCCGCGTGGCATTGTAACAATTAAATAACAAATCTTAATTAAAAATACACAAAACTTCCATATAAAATAAACCAACTAAAAAATCTCACTCAAACTTCAATTAACTCTTATTAAGTGTTCTAAACAAACTAATGGAACTATGAAAATTTCGCCTGTATGTATACCAACTTTAAAAACATTCTAGAAAATTTAGTTTCAGTTGTTTAGAAACACATAAAATTGTCATAAACGCACTTGGTCTAATAAAGAAAATTTTTGTGGTTATTTTTATAAATTAGTTTTGTATAAAATCTGCAATAATTACATGGAACTATAGAAATTTCGCTGAGTGTATACCCAGCGAAATTTCTATAATATTAGAAAAAATAAAAAATGGTTTCTAATCAAAGCAAGCGTAAATAAATAAATTTTTTTTATAATAAATAAACTTTAATATTTATTAAATATGCTTTAGTATATACTGTATCATATTTATAAGATTTATCCTTTAATTGTAAAAATGCTTTATGTAGATTATTTATACACTTATCAAATTTGAAAATAAATGTTGTTATAAAATGAAATGTATTTTGCATACGATTTTAATTACGCACTGTTACGAGCATATATGTATGTTAAATATATGCGCATCTGTAAAACATTTATGTGTTTATTTATATATAAAAGCAAATATGCATGTAATTTGATCCATAAATAGACAAGTGCATGAGTATATACATACATGTATATATATATATATATATATATATATATATATATATATATATATATATATATATATATATATATATATATATATATATATAAATTAATAAAAGGTTAGATGAAAAACAACAACTTTTGATTGCCTTTAGACACTTTTGATGGTAATAATAGTTTCATCCTTCAAAAAGTTTTCGATGTCAAAATATTTAATCAAAATTTTTATGATAATTATTTGATTTTTATGAATCATTCTCATGAAACAATTTTTACTTTATTGTTTCACAAACGTAAGGCGTCATTACAAAACCATTGCATTGTGAAATAATTTGTAAACAACAAAATAGTCTCTCAAAAGTGTTACGATGGCGCACCAAACATGCAATCTGTAAAAAAAGGTGTTGCCAGCTATATTTTAAAAAGATCACCAAAAGCAGTCGTAACACATTGTAGCTCACATAATTTGAATTTATCAATCACTGCAACATCAAAAATACCAATCATTGATAACATTTGGAGGTATACAGAAATATATCCACTTATTTCAATGCCTCTCCGAAAAGAGAGCTCTTGCTGGAGCATGATGCAGAGATCAGTTGTAAATCAACTGAAAGAACAAAGATTTTGATAGGGATGTACAAAACAAGATGGTCAGAAAGAGATGCCGCATATGAACACTTTTATTTAGCTATACCATTTATGGCAGAGGTATTAGAGATTATTTTAGTAATGCACTCTAATATAGAACAGTTCAATATAGTGTTTAGTATGGATTGGAACGCACAAGCAAAAAGAGAGGCCAACTCACTCCTTAATAAACTCACTATGTTTGAATTCATAATTGTTATTATAACTTTGTACCGCTTACTTCACCCATAATCATATATAACAGAGAGGTTGCAAGGGCGCACAACTGACATTGTGTATGCATACATTAACATTCAAGAAACAATCGACGATTTGAACCATTTACGAAAAAATGTTGAAAAAGAAAATTACGCAGTTTACCAACAAGCTACTCGTATGGCAAGTAAAACCAACGATTTCCAGAATCACTATGATACAGGCCTACAGAAATAATTTACCTACAGAAAGTCCCCATGAAAATTTTAAACGGGCCTTTATTATACCTTCTCGACACCATCATTTCAGAAATCAAAATTTTTAAATTGATAATTTTGAATACAGCGTTTAGAAAAAAAGCAAACGAATACAAATTAAGATATAAAAGGAAAAAAGGATAGAAAAGACCTAATCCGTATTTTCGGCGTAAGCTTTAACTATTTTTTTTGGAAAAAAAAAAAATGACTAAAAAAAAAAGAAAAAGTCCTTAAAACTATTTCGGGGCCCCTTAATCAAGAACTGCCCTCCCCCCTAATATAATTTTTGTTCTTACGGGCCTGAAAGCATAAACATAAAATTAAAAAAAAATGAAACTAACTATAAACACTTTGAATTTTTTTTTTTAATTTTGCTTACATTAAAATGTCACAGTGAAATTATATATGCCATATATATCGTGTTATTAAAAATTAAAAAAATTAAAACAAGAAAAACACTCACATATATACTTATAAACATGTATAAACTTTTTTTTTTTCTTTCTGTTATTTAGGTGCCCCAAGAAGACCTAACGGTCTGAGCACCGCGGAAGTGCATTTAACCAGGAAGTTAATGCCTCCTTCCTTACCGTGACGCAAAAATATGTACAGAACTCGTTTCGAACCTGGATCTCCTGCTTAAAAAGCAAGCGGTGTAACCACTGCACCACGGCCGCACAAAATTTATAGATGCACAAATTTATAGATGCGCACTTACAAATGTATAGATGCGCACAAACAGAAACTGCTAACAATGAAACATAAGCTAGGGCTTGAATAAAGATCACAAGATTTTATTGTCAGAACCTTATAAAATACAAACAAATAAAATAAAGACAAGTATAACATACTAATAAAATAAAAATTAAAAAGTATTAAAATACTTATATAAAATCCAAGTTAACAATTTTCAAAATATTAGCAGTATGTTAGTATATAATCAAGTGAAAAAATACATTTTTTTAGATTGAGCTTGAAGGTAAAAGAAAGTTGGTAGATCGAAATTTCGCAGATCAATATTATTCCATAGATGGGGTCCGCAATAAGCAATGCGAAATTGATTAAATTTTGTGTGACAATTTTTATTTTTTCAAAATACAATTTGAAAAAATTTTTTCAAATTGTATTTGTTGTTAGGTTTGAGTTTGAAAGTATTATTAAAAGCGGTAGGGGATAAATTATTTCTCCATAAATACACAAAAGATAAAAGTTTAAATACATTTTGAGTTCAAATAAATTAAATAATCTCATTTCAGTAAAAACAAGTTTTTAAAAAATTTTCAGTAAAAATAGTTTAAAACGATCAGTATAGTTAATTATGCGGATCGCATGTTTTTGACGACGAAAAAGAACTTTTTACAGTACTCCTACAAGCAGTGTTTTTTTTATGTTACTGTGGATGAAAGAAAAATAAAGTTGGCTTTAAGCAATTTTTATTAAGGTAGTTGCGAGCTTTATATAAAATCCCAATGTTTCTTGAAATTTTAGTAGACACATTATTAATGATTACAGGAGATGTTTTTATTGAGATAAACGCAAAAGAATTTTGTAACGGAATCATTTTTCATTTCAATTTCGCCTATGTAAAGTTGAGACAAGTTTGTAGTTAAAAATCGTTTTAATGCATACCAATAGTTCGTATTGTAGCAAGATTTAATTTGATATATAGAATTACTTAGCATCCATTATTTAAAAAATCACAGGCTGCGATTTACCAACTATCATTGCAACGCTTAGATTCAACAAGAAAAACAGCACGAAAACTAGTTAACGGAGAAACTTCTACTGAAATAATTACCGGTTAATATAAGGAGCCTAAACACCAGGATTAGAATATTTATTTCCCTCCTTTTTAAAACCCGCCGTTAAGAGCTTTTTTCTTAACGGACACTCAAATTCGACGGAGAAATGCGAATTTGGCTGCTAGACGCTTATGACCCGCGCTACGCCAATGATATAAACGACTGTTTTTTAAGCTGTTAATTACTGATTATTATGTTCATCTAATTATGTTCATCTTTTGAAAATTGTTAGAAGTTTGAGAAAATGTTTATAAATATCAAAAATTTGAGTAAAAGTTTACTTAATAAATGTATACAGTATCACTATTAGAACCTTTATGCATTAAAATATAAATACGTTCTTTACACTTTTGCGATAGAGCCTTCTTCCTCTTCTGCTGCCTTGCCTCCAATAATCTTCAGCACTCTGGTTGGGAGTATCATTGTTCCAACTAAAGTTCTGCCTATCTTCCCCACCATACCTAACCCATCTCAAAAATGATTGATTTGAGTAGGGTCCGGGGTTCTGAGAGCGATAACGTTTATAGTTCTCATACGTTAGTTCTAAAAGTAAAATTTATATATACATGAATGTAAAAAATTTATTTTATCAGCAGCTTATTTCATAAATTTTTAAATGTCAAAAAAAAAATTTTGAAACATTTTTTAAAGTTATAATATGCAACCTTAACAGTATTGCCAGAAGGAGGCACAAATAAAGATTTTAAACCTTATAAAACTTATAATATAAAACTGAAATTGACAAATCTATGATTTAAAAACTTACCAGTGGCAGCGGAATTCACAACTAAAGCTAATAAAAAAAAATGTCAAAAATTTTTTAAATTAATTTACGATAATCATAAAAAATGAAAAAAATAATTTTGAATTAAGCTACAATAAGTTCATGAAACATTTTTAAAAGTTATAATTTATAATTTAAAAGTTATAATTAAAATTTAAAAGTTATGAAACATTTTTTTGAAAGTTATAATTTAAAAACTTACCAGTGGAAGCAGGAGCCACAACTAAAGCTTTCAAAAAAAAAAAATGTTTAAATTTAATTCATTATCAAAATTACAAAAATTATTTTGACTTAAAAGACATAGTATTTAAGGATCCCGAATGTCACTCATTCCGCTTTTTTTTTCCATATTTGTTTTGTATAATAGGTGCAATATTAAAAAATATTTGTTGTTCGGCCATAGCGGTATTTTGAAAATCGGGCAAATTTTAGTCAATTTGTCTAATTTTGCATGTCATATTTCAAAAAGCTATAATTGGAATATTATTTATATAGTTATACATTGTCATATTATTTTAATTGTCAACTTTATATATTAGAGCCAGCCACAAATTTTACTATAAAAATAAAAAATTGATATTTGCTTAGAAATCATAACCTACAAAGTACAAAAATTGTGAAAAAGTACGAACTTTAGGAAACCGTAACTGATGAAGCCAACATAACCACGCGGATTTTTTTTAGACCAGATAATGTCTAATCACCCTTTAAAAAAAAAAAATTGCGCGTGATTGCATTGGTATCTCAAAAAATCAGCAGTGAAATATTCGTTTAAAAGAAACTGTTCCGACTTTAGAAAGCTTTAAAAACTGTAACCAGAAGATCAGAAGATTTGAAAAAATTATTAAATGGAAATATGTTCATAAAGTGTAGACGTATAAGCGCAAAAAAACAAAAAAAAAAAAACAAAAACTACGTACAATACTAACTCTCTAGACAAATCAATTTGAAAAATGTCGTTTTTAAAAAATAAAATTTTTTAAAAACGACATTTACATATATAATACATTACAACATTATTTAAAAACTAGTATATAAGTGATAGAATCAATTAGATATAAAATATTATACTGAATTCCTGCAAAGGAGTATGCTATTCAAGATAATTGAATAATTAAAAAAAAAATTAACTCAATTTATCTTTGTACTCAGGTACAATATGCTGTTAGGTTCCATAGCATGTCTCATTCCTAACTGTCTAATATGCAGCTAGCTCATTGATAATAAAATGCACCTGAATAAACAAAAGCATATATTTTAAAATCAGAGAGTTCTCTGATGTAGTCATTTAGCTGTCAGTATTATATTTTTAATGTTTTAATATATTATAAATATAACATTCACCTGTTCTTGTATTTCCATTCCAAATTTATTTTTATCATCTTCATTGTTATTTTCAACATTTTTACAATCATCATAATCATAATTGTGCGTATTATTCTCCTTTTTTAACTGGCTGATTGCTTGCTATTTGTATTGAGTTTTTTTAATGATTCTTATATATTTTGCTTTATCTTGGAAAACAAAGATTTAATTTGCTACAAAGTAACATATTGACGAGGATTAAAATCTTTACGAAGTAACTTATCCACCTGGTCTGGATTCATTTTCATACTTGTCTGTTCACCTTCATTGAAGTATCAATACAGCAAGGAACTTTGAGCATAAGAGAATCTGAAAGTGTTTCTTACTGGTAGTGCCCACCTAACCCCTTGAAACAAAGACCTGATAGGAAATTGTTCATTTAACCGGGATTGTCTTTAGGCTGAAATCTTTTAACCAAAAACAAGTTTTCATCCAGATTTACAAAACACTGACTTTTAACTTTTTTCCTACTGTGCATCTGGAACAATGTGCAATTCAAAATACTATTTACTGCGATTGGTGTGCCGTGCAACCTATCTTTGTCATTTCTGGCTTTCATTTTTGTGTCTAGAACTGTTTGGTTAGCTTTAAAACAGGGTTTCAAAAAAACCCATTTAAATTTAAAAAAAAAAAAAAAAAAAACATGGTTTTTTGGTTTTAAGTCTTTTTTTTTAAAAAAAAAGCCATGCTTAGTTTTCAATGTTTTTAATTAAAAAAAGTATTTATCATTTTGCTTGAGTAAATTATATTTTCTATTACCATTTCTGCTGTAATTCATCAACCAACACATTATTTAATGTTCCATATATAAAAACAAACTTTGTCGCTTTTTCCACTCTAATTTTGTTTCTTAACTTGGAATAGAACTTGTTTCTTAACTTGGAATAAAAAAGTTTAAAAAATTCTTTCAATTCCAGCACTAGAAGCTCATGGGTTTAACAAACCTTCAATACCCATGATAATGTTGCAAGATTTTAGAGATCTTCATCATTCTATTGAAAATACTTTTTTTAAAACAAATTAACGATACAAATAGCTTTTATCAAATGGAGCAAATTTGGGTTTCAACTTGGTTATTATTGGTAACAAGTTTTTAAATTCTTTATCTGCAAAGGTCATTGCAGCTTCATTTTCATTTTCAGAAAGATAAGATACAAAATATCTTGGATCTAGCGTGTTTACAAAGAAATGAGCATCACTGACAGTCTGAAAATATCTACTTTCCGATATATACATTTTTTCAGTTGATGAAAAATAATAACATGTTTATGGGCTCTTTAAAAATTTCAACAGTATTACTTATTTTTGATTGATCTCTTTGCAACAAATCTAGAGCAACTCCGATTGCTTTTAATATTTTCAACAAAAAATTAGTTTGATTTAAATTGATATTTTTTCGATTGGTTTAAATCATTAGCTTAAACCATTTTGATTTAAACCTATCAACCCTGGTTTAAAAAGATCTAAACAATCAGCACATACTCTGTTACCTTTGTGCAAAAGATTATCATATAATTTGGGACTTGCCATGTTTGATAATGCAAAGGATGTTGAAATACCTTTGTCACATGACTTGTGCTTTGCCAAATCCAACAATTTATTAAAACTATTCATTCTAGATGATATCGTCTAGCCCTGCTAAGCACTTTCTATGCATTGGCTTGATTGCATGTAAGATCCTCTAGAGTGTACTATCAGACAGCGATTCATAATTATAAGATAGTGTGGATTTTACATGATCTACTTTGTATCTAGAGCAACTAAAAGCATGAATAATAGTTTCTTTTGAAAAAATATGATGCATCTATAAGTGGTAAAATTACAGCTTGGCTCAAAGAATCACTTTCTTTGTAAAATTTAATATATTAAACTAATTCAATCAGAATTACTTTATTTTTTCGTCTACAACATCATGCACTATGGATGTAAAGTCCTCTGGCTATTTAGGAGCTTCTGTTTCTGCAAATTTTTTTGTGACAGCGTTTAAGTATTGTTGATGTTTTGCTCTAGGTATTTCTTAATATCATCATCAAGCACACATCTTGGTGTTTAATTCATTTGAAATTGCACTAGGCTTACATCTAAATATTTAGATAACATAAGACTGGATTCACTACTTAAATTTAAAATATTCTCATGAACAGAAGTAAATTCTCATGATCTCATGAACAACGATCTCCTCTGATGTCCTGATCAAAATCAACAAAATTTTGGTTTTGTTTTGATCAAAAAGCATCTAAAAGGAATGTTGATGACAACACACCTTTTAGATGCTTTAACACACCTTTGACAACAATTGATGACAACACACCTTTTAGATGACAACACACCTTTTAGATGCTTTTTGACTGATACTATTGGTGATCCAGTGATCTGGTGAACCTGTGAAACATCTCCATGCATTTGCTCAATGCTGAATAATCCATCAATTAGATCCCAGTACCTTGTTTGTTTAAAGTGCATTCTTCATATTTTGTTATATAAGTTCTAAAATTGAAAATAAGTAACAATCGTAACTGAAATAACATTTTTTCTAGGAACTATTATAAAGAATAAAAAACATAGCATAAAAAAAATAAAAAAATTTAATTCTAAATTCTGTCTTACCAATAATTATCAGAAAAAGTAAATGGGATAGCAGGCAAAATTACAATATGTTTATTTTCTTTGTTATTCTTTTAGCTAAGCCATTGTTTTGATGAACATGAGCTTTTTATACCGTTTCTCACTACTCAACAAATTGCCAGTAATTGTATTACTGGAATTAATTCATTTTAAAATTAATATCCTCAATAACAATACAACAAGAAAGAGTATTGTTTTACAACCAATCAAAAATAAATTCACGTGAATGTCATCAATTTTTGTCAAATCAACTATTAAGTAAATTTGGAATTCAATCTATTCAATAATGTCAAGGTTGTTGAATTAAGGGAAACTAATTTATAAAACAATTTCCTTAAATGCAAATAGTATAAAAATACATAAGAAATATACTTCTTTGAAAGCAATCAAACAAAATTTGAAAGCAATTAAAAACAAATAAAATATGAAATCCTTAATATGTATCTTTATGAAATTTTTTGATTTTTTAAATTGATTTTTCTAGAGAGTGAGCAAGGAATGCAAATTTTTTTATATGGCAGTCTATACTATATGAATTATCTAGTAAATATTTTAAAAAATCTTTTGGCTTCAGTTTTTAGAGCCATCTAAAGTTGGAACAGTTTTTTCAAAAATGTTTTTCACTCCTGATTTTTTGAGATGTTAATGCAACTATGCGAATTTTATTACTTTAATTGAAGATTAAACCTGCAGCTATCATATGGTGCAACAAAATCCATGATGCTATGTTACGGCCTTTATAAAGTTCAAACCTTTTTTTTATTTTTTACAAAAACTTTGAATAAGTATGAACTTTAAATAGTCAACAAAACATCTTTTTATTTATTTATTTTTTTTATAAAACTTGAGGCTGGCTGTTATAAATAGGGGAGAGCGGGGCTAAAAGTCATAAGGGTTAGTTGTCATAGTCGCTATTTCGGAATGTTATAGCTGGATTGATGCTGCGATTTTTTTATATTATATAAATGGTGCTGAAAGGTGACTGCTCAGTTGATTTCATGAAATTCGCGCGAATAGTTTTTCTACAAATCCAAAAAAAGTAAAAATTTTGTTGGTAAGTAACTTTTTAACTTTTTTGTTCAAATGTTCAATACAGTAACAATATGCAATATTTGTGTTTAATACATTAAAATGTTTATAGTTTTGGAAATTCTTTTTTTGGTGTGCTAGTCATTTTTCAAATTCACGGCAAGAATAAAAAGTTATTTAGGTCAAACCTTTCTCTACCCCCTGTGGGGCAAGTTGTCGTATTTTAAAGGGGGCAAGTTGTCATATAAAAAAAATTGCCTCCATACTTTCATATAGTTGTAAAAGTCTTAAATGAATGTTAATAATACATACAATGCTTATTATAAGTAATAAACATCAATAAAATGAATTAGGCATAATATTTAAGATTAATAATAAGCCTTAGTAAACATTAATAAATGATAGTGATAGTTATAGACATTAGACAGTTATAAAGTTTTGCTTACTTGGACTTTTATTCTAACATTTTTTTTTTTGCTTTATCAGATTTTAAATCATGGTTCGCAATTATTAAAGGAAAACCAGTAGAGGTACCACTGCTAAATGCACAATCCTTGAATCAGTGAAAGCTGTAAAGTTACATGGCAGAAGCATAGCCCAGGTGTCTCTAGATTTCAACATCAACTATAGAAGCCTACAATGCTATTTGTCAAAAGCCTCTACAGAAGATCTTCAAGAAAAATCGACAATACCTTCATTTCACACTGGCTACGTACAACCTAGGTTTGTAGATTGTTAATATGTTTAAGGATTATAATATTTGTTATTATAAGTGACTCCATTAAATAAGTATTTATACTGGTATATATTTTATATTATTTCAGGCAAGTGTTGACACAGGAGCTTCATCTTAAACTCTGTAGCTACTTGCAAAGAGCTTCAGATATTTACTTTGGCCTTACACCAAAAGATGTTAGGAAACTAGCATATCAATTAGCAGATGCTAATAAATTGGCTATGTCAAAATCATGGATGGAAAATCATTGTGCTGGGAGAGATTGGTTTACGTCTTTTCTACAAAAAAATCCAACATTGTCTTTAAGAGCTCCAGAGGCCACAAGCATTGCACGTGCCATAAGTTTCAACAAACACAATGTTGAAATGTTTTTCAATAATCTTCAGGTGTGTCTTCAACATCACCAATTCACACCAGCAGATATTTGGAACATGGACGAAACAGGGGTAACTACAGTTCAAAAGCCTGATAAAGTGATCTCAAGAAAGGGCCAAAAGCAAGTTGGGGCAATAACCTCAGCAGAAAGAGGTGCTTTAGTTACCTTGGCATGTGCTGCCTCTGCTATTGGTAACAGTATTCCACCTTTTTTCGTATTTCCGAGAGTCAATTTTAGGGACCACTTTTTAACTTCTGCACCACCTGGCAGTGATGAGGACGCAAATCCATCTGGATGAAAGAAGACACTTTTTGTAAATTTCTTACTTATTTTGTAAAGAATGCACGGCCTTTAAAGGAGCATCCAGTTTTGCTACTGGTTGACAATCACTTTTCGCACTTGTCATTGAATGCACTAGACTATGCGACAGCAAATGGAATTATTATGTTAAGTTTTCCACCCCATTGCACCCACAAGTTGCAGCCACTAGATAGTACAGTCTATGGCCCTTTTAAAAAGACTGTAAATACAGCCATCAACAGTTGGATGGTCAGTAACCCTGGAATTGGTATGACAATTTACAATATTCCAGAGATAGTGAAGGTTGCCTTTCCATTGAGCATGACACCAAATAACATACTGAGCGGATTTTCTTCCTGTGGCATCCACCCATTTAACCCTTAAATATTTACAGATTTGGACTTTGCTCCAAGTTCAGTAACAGAAATGCCTACGCCAGTCAAAACCAATCCTCAATTAACAATGCCTCAAGCTTTAGAGGTTACAGTCTCACCAGAACAATCCACTTGTGCTTCAACTTCAAGTTTGACTTTGTCATCACAGGAGCCTTCAACATCTCAAGCCAAATCAATTTCTGAATGCTTTGAGCTTGCATCTTGAGATAAAGTAAGGCCATTACCAAAGGCACTAGAAAGAAAACCTTCCAAAAACACACGCAAAAAGAGAACTTCGTCTATATTGACTGATTCCCCTTTCAAAAATTCTATGAGATCAGCACAGCCACTGCCAAAAAAATGCAAAAGTTCTGCTAAGGGAAAGGGAAAAGGTAAAGCAACAAAAAAGCATACACAAGACTCATCATCATCATCAGAAGATGAAACCTACTGTATTATTTGCATGGATACTTGGGCTAACAGCAGAGATGCTGAAAAATGGATCAAATGCTGTGTGTGCTCAAGCTGGGCACATGAAGAATGTACAGCAGGAGGGTCCAGCTACATTTGCCATAATTGTGACTCTGATGATGATTATTAATGGTCATTTTCAAGTAGAGTATAAATTATAATATAATTTAGATATTATTTTTAATAATTTATAAATGATTAATATAATACTTGTTTTCTATTTGAAAATATTTTTTTTTACCTTTTAGACCTACACTTGTGATAAAATATAATTATGACAACTTGCCTCTCTTATCATGACAACTTGCCCCAACGATGGGGCAAGTTGTCATACCATGGAGCCTTCTTTAGAAATGGTGGCATGTTATACTCAAATGGTCTGAAGCTTTCCAAAGTTGTTTTTTAAATAACTATAATGATAAACTACTATATAAAATAGTTTTTATGAAAATTGACCAATTGGTTTTTGAAATATCTTGAAAAATATAAAAAGTATGACAACGTGCCCCGCTCTCCCCTAAGCAAATTGACTAAAATTTATCAGATTTTCAAAGTACTGCAATGACCAAATGACAAATATTTAGACCAAAATTATAAAATTTTGTATTTGTCGTCTATTACAAAAAGAAAATATGTTACAAATAATTAAATCAGGGGCATTCAATAATTGCAACTGTCTGATTCTAACAAACAATAGCTTTTAAGTCACAATAAGTTTATGAACATTTTTGAAAGTTATAATTTAAAAACTTACAATTGGTAGCAGAAGGAGACACAACTAAAAATCACAAAAAAGAAAATTTAAACATTGACAAACTTAACTGAAATTAAAAACACTATAACTTACAAACTTACCAGTGGCAGCAGAAGAAGACACAACTAAAGCTAACAAAAAAACAACAAAAAAACATAAAAATTACCAAATTTATATAATTAATCATCAAATTAAAAAATTATATATTTTATTTTGAACATTACAAAAATTATTATGAATTGAGCCAAAATAAGTAAACATTTTTAAAAGCTATAGTTTATAAACTTATTCTTAAGTGTTTAATACAGAGGAGGTTAATTAATTTTCAGAAACTTTTCTCACCAACCCAAGTTTATTAAGACCAACCCAAGTTTATTAATTCTTACTTGTTATCAACAAAAAACAACATCTCAAAACTAAAACAAAAAACCAGAAAAAAATTAATATATATTTTAATTTTTGTTAAAGGAGCCCTAAGAAGAACTAACAGGTAGTCACAGAGCACCGTAGAAAAACATTTAAAAAACAAGCTCACGCCTCCTTCCATACCAACGCATTATGGTTTCTGAGACCCTATTATTTGGCATAAATTAAGAACTTCAATTTAAACACAAAATAACTAATAGATTTTGTTTCTTAAGATAGGTTATATGTTCTAAATGCATTATAACTAAATTTTATATGAATAAAATATATATGTGTATAAGTATATATAATGTGATTAGTATATTTAATAAATTTATATACATTCAATATATAATTATATTTAATATATAGTTATATCTAATATGTAAAAAAATATCATTAGATGAATAAATGTTCAAAAAATCAGTTAAACTTAAACTATATTTCACTACCTAACTCAATGAAATCTAAATAGTTAATAGAAATTAAAACTTTGTGTAAATTTGCAGGCATCGGATACCAAGGATATTTAGACATAATGTTTTGGCGTCTCAAAACAATATTTTTCAAATTTGTCTAAATTAATTTGATACTGGCAAGAGATGGAAATAAAAATAATTTTAAACTTATTTATCAACTCTTCATCCACATTAGTTATTTCGGCCAATTTTTCAATATTTTCAAATGCTCGGCGTGCATTATTGCCATCGTTGATACTTCCAAAGCCTCCAACTTTTGATTTATCCATGTGATGTTGTAAATTTTCAAATAACAGTTGCTTTATTTCTTTTTTTCTACATAAAAAGATTTTCTTACTATTAGTACCTCGAATTTACCATTTACACAAACCATGTATCTGTATGATATGTGGACGATGCATTCAAAAATTCGTATCCAAGCATGTAGTAGACTAATGCCATGCTGTAAAGTATAAGGTTTAGGCTTAAATAATTCTGTTGTTTTTAATTCCTGCACTTTAACAAAATCATTCAAAGTAGCTCCACATATCGGACAAGCTTGGTTTGATTTTGTTCTAGTTAATATATTTAAAATTTTGTCGTCAATTAGCATCATAAATAAAGCTGATCTGAATTTTTTTATTATCAGACAATTGATTAACGGTACTTGTGCAACGATGTCGAAAATTGATATAAAATTTGGTCTACATGCCGATTTACATTTCTAAATCTCTCTGTAGTTAGGATACATATTACGATTTTTGGTAACAGCTCCTTGTCTAATGTTTTGATACTGTTGTTTCCTTAAATTGAAGCCCAAAATTAATTCTATTGCTTCTTCTGCTGTATAACATACTGTTTCTTATTTTGTTGAAAATATAGTTTTTTAATTTTAGTTGGCCAAGATGGATTTTTGTTCAATTCTTTTAGGACCAACGCTAGATCACGTTTCTTTTGCTGACGTGCAGCCATACCTGCTGCTTGCAATATAAGAGATGTTTCGTGCGTATTATCTCGACATAATATCTCTTGGCCTGATCTGATTTTTTGGTATATGATAATCTTTATGGAATTGAATGACAAGAAGATGTTGATGGAATTGCATTATCAGTAAATGTAATTTCTCTTTTCAACCAATCTGATATTTTACTTTTAAATTAGCACATTGTTCTTTGACTATCTGACCATTTTCATTCAAAAGAGTTGCACAAACGATACATTTTCTTTTGAATATTATTGCTAATAACTACTGATATATTATTTCCAACTATTTGAATGACATGATTAAAAACATTAAAGTTTTTCACATTTTTATCTTTGTTTTCCAGCCATACATTAAATAAATCCTCATATTTGAAGCGGTACATCACTGCAAACAAACAGATATATTTTTAATTGGGGCAACTTGGGGCAAGTTTTGAAAACTAGAATATATTTCTGAAAACTAACAAAATTTAATCATGTAAAAATATTTTTGGAGAAATACGGAGAGTCAATTTAAGGTTTTGAAAAAAGTAATGAAAGAAGAAATACTTGAAGGAGGAAAACATAATTAATATAATAATGCAATATTTTAATTTAATTAAATATTTTATATATATATATATATATATATATATATATATATATATATATATAAAAATATATAAACAAAAATAATTAACTTTACAGAAATCAAAAATATTAATTATTTCAAAAGTTATGTATTATCAAATTCACAGCTCACTTTACGCTAACTCACTGTAAACTAAGCTGAGGTAAAAAATATGCTTAACTTGAGTGCATATTACAAACACAATGAGCTAATAATTAAAAAATAGACCACATTTATTATCACTTTGAAGAGTTTACTTTAAGGCACCGCATAAAAAAATCTTTTCTAATACTTAAAAAAAAAAAAAAGGGTTTCTGACAAAAAATTGGGTCTCAGAAACCATAGTGCAATGACAAGAATTATGCCCAGAGCTTGCTTGCTTTAAACTCATATCTTGCTTCTAAAACAAGCGCTCTAACCACTGTGACGGATCCAAGCAGCTGTGGTTGGTGGTTATACCAATCACTGATAAGAATTAAAACTTTCAGTGTAATCAGGCTTTAAAAATTGTAGACCTTTAAAAAATATATTGTAAATATTAATTTGTCAGAAAATAGGTTTTGATGTTTTTTTTCATCATACAATAAAACTTATAACCCTTATATAAGGATTAGGGTAATGACTTTTTTGTGACCAATGGGGTCACAAAAAAATCAAAACCCTAATGCTTATATAAGGGTCTTAAATTGACTAACATTTGCAGCAGCTGTGTAGTGGTAGAGTGTTTGCCTCATAAGCAAAAAGTTTCGAGTTTGATCACCACCACATCTTGTTTCTCCTTGTAACCACAACTAAAGTAGCCTTTTTAAAATTAAAAAAAAAAAAGTACGAAAGTGATAAAAAAATAATTAAATTCTTTTGTTAAAAAGAGATCACCCACAAACCTAAAATCCGAAGTTTTTTGGTTTAAAAACAATTTTATAATTTTTAAATTCCTAGTTTTTTTAATTGGAGAGTTATTATGTAGTTTTTAAGCATTTAAAAGTTTATTGTTACATCATAAAACTTTAAATTACAAATAAATATTAAATTACAATCTTAAATAACAATTCTACAAGTACAAAAAGCTACTGCATATATCAAAAAAATGTTGTGCAATATTCAGCTTAATTCAAGTGTAATATACAACAATATGTTTTGTTAGACAAAATAAATCTAAACTTAAGGTTCTCTTTCTTTTTACAGTGTTATTACATGTCAAAAAGATCTTGAAGACACTTGATTGCTTGATCTGCACACTGATTTGTTCTGGGAATTTCCAAATTCAATTGTTCCTGATTTAAAAAACTTTTTCACAGAGTTTAAAGCTTTATCTAGATAATACAAGCTGCTACATAACTTCTGATAAACACCTTTATTGTACATTCGGCCAGTAAACCAATGCCCACCCATTTGTAAGAGATTAATTTACAAATGCTGAGTAGTGGGTCTCTTCTTTGTGGTAGAAAAATAAATGCTAAAAGAGCTGGTATTGCTTGGGAATCTTACATTATTTAACTTTGTATTTTTTGAAACTTCACTATAGAAATTTCTTTAAAAAAGCAAAATACCTGAGTTATATGAAATAGAAACTTATCAGCCATCCTGCTAATTCAGTAATCACTTCTCTACCATTCTTGAATTTTTTTCTGAGCTGTTAGTAGTTTTTTACAAGTTCTGGTACAAACAGATATTCCATATTGGGCAATGTTGTTTCCTCCTTCAAGTTCTTCATTTATTACTACACGAAAAACTCTGCCAAAAACAAAAACCAAAACAACCAATGAATTATTCTTCAGAATCTTTGGACCCTTGATATTGTTATACTACTGTTGTTGAACTAGGTCTAAAGGACATTTTTTTTCTTTTGGATGGATGGATAGTTTTTGAACTAGCAGCCTAGTATACCCAACCTGTTGTATACCCGACCTGTTCTTTGCTTTAAATCTGAAGATAATACAATCTTCTGGCCTCAGTGCAGAGCCAAAAAAAAAAACAAAAAAACTCTAAGCTAAACTTAAACAAGGAAAAAGTAAAAACACTAAAGAAAAAAGAAATAATTTCTAATTAAAAAAAATATATATATAAGCTTTAAATCAAACTAAAAAAAACTAACTCTAAGCAAAAATTACTTTTTGTTACGCTTTTAATTGCATTTGAAATAAATTACTTTAAAACTTATCTTTTGAAACGATTTATTATTACTCTAAATGCTTTTATAAATTACTACCAATGATTGTTTAATAAACAAATTTTATTTAAATTATTAAAAAGTGATATTAAATTATTAAAGGAAAATATATAATAATATTTTTATATCGTAAACATTTTTTCCAAAAAATTGGAAAATAAAGCAATTTTTAATAATTCTTTAATTTAAAATAGCAATTTTTAATCATTTCATGCTCTGATTACTAAGTCAAGTTAAAAATAAAAGCTTTTAAACAACTCTTTGTAAAATAGAAACAAAAACAATATAATAAAGCAATTAAATCATTCTATTGTAATGAAAAGATATAATATAATTTATTCATTATTTAAAGTAACTTGAAATAAATTATAATAAACTAAAAAATAATCTTTTAAATATATTTTTAGGTTGACATAAAAAAATAGTTTTATTTAGTCAAATGTTTAAATTTATCATAAAAAATTCATGCCTACAAAAAAAATAAAAAATAAATATAACAACAGAAAGTCATAATGCTACTGCCTGCAAATACTTTTATACCATTTTAAAAATGTTGTGTTGTGAGTGACCTTTTTTAGAAAATTGTTCAAATAAAAACCATTTGCATTACTTTTGAGCAAAGGTTCATTGATTTATCACACAGAAAATTAGTCATTTTACAAAAAGTTAAGAAGTCATAACCCTAATAAATTCTATTAAAATTATAATGAAACACGGTAAAAAATTCCCACCCACCCTTTTATTAAAACACCCCCTTCCTGTTTATTAGATCTGAACTAAAATTAACACTTCCCCTTTTATTACCATTCCCCTCACCCTGTATTAAGCACATAAGAGTACCAGTGGAAGCGGGAGGCACAACTAAAGATTACGAAAAAATTTTTAAAATCTTTTAAGATAATCCTGCAGATAAGCAGCCTAAAATAATTTAATTCTATTATTTAGTAGTGGAGTGCAAATAACATTTTGATAACAATAAAAAAAAAAAAAAAAAAGATAATAATAATAAACTATAAACTTATAATAAAAATAATTATTATTAATAAAAAAAATATTCGCAATATTTTTAATATTTATAATAAATAATTTAAAATGCTATCAAATTCTCTACAAACAAGATGGCTAAAATAAATTTAATTTAGGATGTTTAACCACAGAACTGCCTCCTATAAAAACTTATCTTTATATCAAAACACTAGAATTTACAAACTTACCAGTGTTAGCAGAGGGAGGCACAACTAAAAATTAAAACAAAAAAAAAAATTGTAAAAGAACGTAATTTGTTTGAAACTTTTAATTATTATAAAGTATTATTAAAATATTTATATTAATAATTTGTTAAAAATTTCACAAAAGCAAATATCTAAACTATATAACTAAGTAACATCATGTTTATTTTACTTACAGAGTTGCTTCAAATCATCTAAAAAAAGAATTAAATTAATTCAAAAAACTTCAAGTAAAGTCGAAATAATGGATCTATTAAATAGAATATGACCATTATATAGAATACAGACCATACAAACAACTAAAAAAACTGAGAAAAAAAAAAAAATAAATTAAAAATAACACCATTATTGATAGCAACATTATGCTTAACTGTTTTTCATCAAATTAATAAGTGATATAATTAAAATTAAAACTTTCCTTACTCAATGTTTTCTTTAATTGATCTATATAAAAACAATATAATACATTACAGACCATGCAAACAACTAAAAAAATTGAGAAAAAAAAGTAAATTAAAAATAACACCATTATTGATGGCAACATTATGCTTAACTGTTTTTCATCAAATTAATAAGTGATATGATTAAAAATAAAACTTTCCTTACTCAATGTTTTCTCTAATTGATCTATATAAAAACAATATAATACAAGTTAAATAATACAAACAACCTTGTTCACAACAATGTAAAATCATAAAAAAACTAGTGTTAGTAAGAAACCAAAATAAAAGAGGAGTAAAGTAAATACTGAAGTAGAAATCAGCAAACAAATAAGAGAGAAAGAAAATGTTTAACAATTTCATATAAATTTATAACTCTACTTTGGTCTATACTTTAATAATCTTTTGGTAAAGCTATGGTTAAGCAGCCCAAAATAATTTTATTTTTTTGCTTGTTGCGCTCTAGTCAATGGAGACTATCTAAACATAAGAAATTTTTATTTATTGGCTTCAGCACATACATCGGCTATCTTACAGCCAGCTGTTGCAAGTGAGTCCTGCTACATTGTCTAAGAGTTGTCACTGGCAAGAGCACAATAAGCAAAAAAATAAAATTATTTTAGGCTGCTTAACCATGTAGGTTTTTCCAATCTTTTTTAAAGAGTTAAATAAATACTAAAATACTGAAAAATAACTAAACATAAGAATGCTGACCTAAACTTTGAAGAAGTTCATCTAAACAAACAAATTAATATAAACACTTTGAAAATGTAATAAATTTAAATATATAGATCACTTTATAAAAATAAAAACTAAAAGTTCTTAGCAAGATAAACTAACTAGCTGATATTACCTTTCTGCTCACAACTAATTTCTTTACTCATTTTATTTAACTAAATATAATCAAATTGATATAATTATCTAAAAAACATGAACTAATATTCTGTCTCTAATATTCTGTAATATCCAAGGAGGAAAAATGAATTTTAGGTATCAAAACTGCTGCAAAAAATAGGGTATGTGCTGCAAAAAATAAATTGGTTAAATTTTGGAAAGTGCGTAGAAAATGTGTTAACTTTTCTACGCACCTTCCAAATTTCATGTATTAAAAAAAAAATGATATAGATTAAAAAAATGCATTTCTTAAACATTTACTAAGGCAAGTGAAACTAAGTTTTGGATACCAACAAATCCATATACAATGTTCACAATTGTTATCAAAAGAAACATATTATTAAAGTTTAATCATTTTAGTTTTTAAAATAATTATCCCAATTCATGTCTAAAGGTGAGTTTCCACTCATCCGTTTTTTCAGGGGGAAAAGGAAGGGAAATATAAACACGTGGGCATACGTATTTATAAGTTTTAATTTGTCCGAAGTAAAACTACGCATGCTCACGTGATTATTTTTCCCGTTCCTGAAGAGTGGAAACTCATATTAAGAAATTAAACGCTAATATACTCTGTACGGCAGATTTTGAAAAAATGAGGCACAGAGTTTTGGTCCAAATTCGGTTCCGTAAAACGTTGAAATCTGTTGAAATACAGCCTTTTTCAAACCGCGTCAGACCTGGTAACTAATATTTTCTTAAGGGGACAATTTTTTAAAGCGCAATATTTGTTTAAACAACTATATAAACAATATCAACACATTTCATCATAATAACTTTCTTTTGTAATGGAAAAAGCATGCAAAATTGATCAATTCACATTAGAAGAAGCTACAACGTGGTTAAAAAAACTGTAACTTCCCACTTCAGGCACAAAGGATATACTGCTAAATCGAATTAAAAAGTTTAATAGATATCCGAATTTGCTAAACAAAATTAAGAGCAGGGCTGATAGAAATTTTAAATTTAAATGCAGTTTAGATCCTTGTTTTTAAATATCTTTTTGTTGACAAAAAGATATTTAAAAAATACTTATAATAAGTATTTTAGTTGTATATAAGTATTTTGTTATTTATGTTGACCAAAAGATATTTAAAAAATACTTATAATAAGTATTTTTTAAATATCTTTTGGTCAACAAATGGTCAATTAATTTTATTGCATAAAAACGAGGGAAGTATTGGCCAACAAGAAAAAGCTGCACGTATGCTTCAAAGCAGAAAAATAGTAAACGTGAAAGTTTTTCAAGCTGACTTGAGTAACAGTTTTGTAAAAGCAATGGTAAAAAAATCCTATGAACAAAATGCCAGACCTGCTGTTATTTTATTCGTGAATGGTGTGCCCTTCAAATCACATTGCCCTTGTCCAGTTGGTTCAAGTTGTTTATGTTGCCACGTATTATGTTTACTTTTGTTTTTACAACATTATACGTGCACAAAAGAAAAAATGCTTGAGCTTACTTGTACACAAACTCTTCAAAAATGGCACAAAAGAATTGCAAAAGATTCTATTCCTATGGTGTCTCTTTAAAGAGATTAAAATAAATCAGCAAAGATAAAAAAAAAATATGGCACTATTACATGCTCTGCTGCTGACCCTCATGCTTCGTATTTTGAACGTGATGTTTCTAACATATCTCGTGAACTAAAAGAAAAGCTCAAAAAGGAGAAGCCTGTTACTGAACATTTTTATTCAGTTCTTTCTAAATATGATAGTGGTAAAAAATCTTCTTTAAGTAAGCATTTAACTTTTATGTTTGAAAAAAAAAAGCAATTTGCTTTGCTGATTATGATTATACAAAAACAATTTTGTTTGATGAAACAATATTATCTGATGACACAATTAAGTTACAGAGAATTAATACAATTATAACAAATTTCGACAATTCTTCTGCTTTTAATGTACAAATTAGTATAACAAGCTCTGAAGAAATTTTGACACAAGATATTTTACGTATTGAAGTAATAAAGTCCACTAATGCTGAAAAAGACAATAATGCACCTAATATTAGAAATAGCATAAAGAAACAATTAAAAATTAACCCAAAAGCAAAAGTTCATTTAGACATAAGATATTTAAACTCACCAAAACCACTAGGAGCTAATTATATAGATGTTACACAAAATACTGAAGAGTGGGAACAGTTACGTAGATTTGAAATAAATGGAACTCGATTGCCTTTTTTACTTGGACTCCAGAATTCGATAAACAAGTTTATCGAATGCTGGAGCACTGTAAAAACTGGTAAAAAGGAAGATGACTTTTAGCCATTAAAAATATTAAAAGAGGAGTAGAGTTTGAAAAAAATGCTTTATCTTATTTTGAAAAAGTTTCCCAATTAAAAACAACTAAATGTGGTTTCTTTACACACCCTACAAAAATCCGCTATGGAGCAAGCCCAGATGCTCTTGCTGCTTGTGGCTTGCTTTTGGAGGTTAAAACTAGGGCAGAGAACTGTGGTGGACCCCTTCATTCATTAGATTTATTTCCACTATATACAATGTCAATTGCAAATGCTTTGCGCTGATGCTGAATTTTTTATTTTGTTATCTTATCATCCAGAGTCTGAAAGTGGAATTTTTTTTTTAAATTGAAATAAATAATCTACTAATTAATATACTATTAGACATTTGTGACAATATTTTATTCGATTCAAAAATATTTGAATGGAATTATTATGAAAACAAAAAAAAAAAAAAAAATAAAATAAAAAAAAAAAAATTAAAAAAAAATAAAAAAAATAAAAAAAGGAAGAAAGAAAGACAAAGAAAAAATAATAAATTAAGAAAAATAAATATAAAGAGAGTGGAGAAAAGAAAAAAAAGGAAATGAAAAAGCAAAAAAACAAACAAAAAACCAAATCAATCAAACCAACAAAAAAAAAAACAATATAAAAAGAAACGAAAAAAGAAAAAGAAAAGACAAAAATCCAAAGTTAAAAGAAAAAACATTCGAAAATGAAAAGTAATTAAAAGCAATTAAAATAAAATATAAAAATTGCTCCGTTTTTGAAGAAACGTAAAAGAATATTTTTTAAATTTTATTTGTCTTTTTTGTTGTTGTTTTTTGTTTTTGTATTCTTGTGTATTGTTAATTTGGCATTGTATAGTATAATTCATTTTGTTTGCATCGTATGTTATTTAATTTAAATGTTTTTAATTTTATGTTTGATAGACATTTAAAAAAATGTATATATTTTTGAAGCTGTATATGTATATGTATAAGTATGTGTATATATCTTTATATAAGTGCTTGTGTGTGCATGTAACAATATTAAACTTTCTCATTTTTTTAAATGCTTTTTTGTTTTTCTTTATTTTATTTTAAATTTTCATCATGTTTTTTGTTATAGTTTTATTTCTTTTAGTTTTAAATATCTATCGTAGCCACAATTATTACTATTTTTAACTTTACTATTATTATTCATATTTTATTATTTTAAATTTAAATAAATGTTTTATGTTCTGGTTAGTTGTTACGCTTTATCAGTCAATTGTTGGTAACTAACTTATATGTATATTTAACTATTGTATTTATAAAAACAAGTGACTTATTAATTTGATTATTTTTTAATGTAACTAATATTATAATTGTTATTGTTGTTGTTTGTTTTATTATTGTTGTGGTTCTTATGTTTATTACTATAAATATTATTTTTATTATTATAATTATTATTCTTATAATTATTACTAATTATATATATAAAGATCTATATTTTTGGTGTTTACTTGATATTAGTAGAACTGCTAGCTAAAGAACTAAACTTTGAAAACCTGAAACCGGTTCGAAATCTAGTCAAGAAATACACAAAATCAATTGTTTTATTAAACTTTGAAAAGGATAATGACTTTACAATTCATACATAATTTATTTTTACTTTTAACAATATATCTTTTTGAAATATTATTTTATTATTTATATTATTTATTTTTTGGTCCTATAGGAGGAAATGCTATATTTGTAATATGGCACAACATTTGCCAAGTTGAACCCAATAAATCCATTTGATTTAAAGGCCAGACATTGTTTAAAATTTTCCAATTATGTACTCTCCCAATATAACGCTCGACATGAATACGGGTGGCAGCAATATTAAAGTTTTTTTTGTATTTCAGGTTCAGAAAATTGGTGTCCTTCTTTTTGTTTTGGTCGATTTAAGTATATACCTTTAGATAAGCATAGTTCTTTTATCGCAAATCCTTTATCTGACATCACTTCGTGATCTTCTCGTATAAGTGATAGAAATACCTGACTTCTCTGTAATTTCAGAGTCTGTAATAGACCCTGGATAAATGTCACTGAAAAAAAGGCCCATTCCATGAGGAGCTATTCCAATAAGGGCTTTTCCTGTATGAGTGTTTTTGTAATGAGAAAACATTAAACTACTCAAATCAAGATTAGAAGCTTGCTGAAATTTGAATTCAGTGGCGTCTATAACAATCTCAGTTAATCCATTGCCAGTTTTCACAAATATATCTGGCATTTTCTTTAAAAGAAAACTTCCATCAACTTTTAAATTTATTTCATTAAAAAGGGTAGCACAAAATATTACCCAACCAGTGAAAATTCTATGAAAAGTTGTATAAGATTTTTCAAATAAGAATGACAAATTTTAATTCTAATCCATGACTACATACAGTCAGAACACTAAAGAACTGTGTCTCATTACTGACAGTTTTTTCACCTGTATTTGGACAATCTGGGTATGGTATAAGATGCAAATGTGGTTGGATACATTCAAAAAGCATATCAAAATTTTCACTCGATACCCCACATAAGTATTGAAATGTTTGTTTTCTTGATTTAATGTTTTCATAGGTAAATTGAGTTCTAAACATAAACAAATACTGCGCTTTAAAAAAATGTCTCCTCAAGTTAATATAAGTTTCCAGTTCTGACGCGGTTTGAAAAAGGCTAATTAACATCAGGCATCCTAATTACCTAAAATCGAATTTAATTTTAAGACAAATTCTAAATCCGCCCCTTGAATTAAAGAGTTTAAGTAATATTTTACAGAATAAAGAAATTTTTAGTTTTTTTTTTTTTTTTTATTGTAGAGCAATAAGCGGTACCAAATAAGAATTTTTTCAGTTTTTTAAGAAACTTATATATATATATATATATATATATATATATATATATATATATATTTATATATATATATATATATATATATATATATATATATATATATATATATGTATATATATATATATATATATATATATATATATATATATATATATATATATATATATATATATATATATATATACATATATATATATATATATATATATATATATATATATATTATATATATATATATATATATATATACATATATACATATATATATATATATATATATATATATATATATATATATATATATATATATATATATATATATATATATATATATATATATTATATATATATATATATATATATATATATATTTATATTTATATATATATATATAAGTTTCTTAAAAAACTGAATATATATATATATATATTTTAAGTTGATTTAGGTGCCCCAAGAAGTCCTTACGGTCTTATCACAGAGCACTGCGAAGAGCATTTAATAGGAAGTTCACGCCTCCTTCCCAACCGCTGTCGCAAAACTTGCCCAGAGGTGGGGTTTGAACCACGGATCTTACGTTCTTACGAGGCAAGTGCGCTACCACGGCGCCATATATATATATATATATATATATATATATATATATATATATATATATATATATATATATATATATATATATATATATATATATATATATATATATATATATATATATATATATATATATATATATATATATTATATATATATATATATATATTATATTTTACAATTTTTACAATAGTAACGACATGACTTCTAGAAAATCATGAGGATCTTGTCATGAAGCCCTTTATAATATGTGGGTAATTTTTAATTATAATACAATGTCTGTAGTGAAATAATGATACACCTTTATTAAAAACGTTTAAAAACCAAGATAAAATGTTAAAAGGCCAAGATAAAATTTTAAACCAAATAATGTAAAAAATAGAACAACAACAAACAAACAAAACAAAAAAATTAAAAATAAATCATGATATTTTCAATTAAAAGTATAATTTTTTTTGTTTGAATGAAGCATAAGTCAGTTTAGTAGAAAAGTCCAAATTTGGTGTGACTATTTTGTTCCAAAGATAAGGACTTCGATAAAAAATAAAAAACTGGTTGTTTTTACGGCAAAAAGGGGCAATAAAATTGTAATTAATTCGAAGATTATATTTGCTTTTAGGTTTCATACAATAAAGATTTCGTAATACATTTGCCAACAAATTTTCTCTACATTTAAACATTAAATTTAAAATTAAAGATATTTAGTTGATATACATTTAAAATATTCATTTCTTTAAAAAGTTGTTTCGTATGAAAAAACTGATTTTTAAAATTTGTTGCGCGAGCTGCATGTTTCTGATGAAGGTAAAGAGATTTTAGCTTTGTTCTATGAGTGCTTATTTATATGACAATGTATAAATGAATACTCTAATTGTGTTAACTGGTGTATATTTAATATATTTCTTGCTTTATAGAGAATTCCGATGCATTTAGCAATTTTATTGGAGGTATTATTTATATGATTTCTCCAAGATTTTCATCAATATATACTCCGAGAAACTTTTTCTCTTTTTAACATTATATCATCAATTAAAAGGTCTGACTTGATATGAGACAGTTTCTGTTTTTTTGAAGGTGGAAAAAAAGTGTCCATTTAGTTTTTTCTATATTTAGAGACAATCTATTTTGTTTAAACCAAACAGAAACTTTTTTTAATTTGTCATATTAGTAAAAAGCATATTAATATCTTCATGAGACAAAAACAAATTTGTGTCATCTGCAAAATTTATTGTTGTTAAGTTTGATGAATATATATAAAGATCATTTATATATATTAAAAAAATAAGTGGACCAAGTATGGATCCTTGTAGAACACCACATGTTATATTCATTAATTGATGAGATATAGAATCTTTATTGTTAACAAACTGTTTACGGTTAATAAAATAACTTTCAAACCATAATAGGGTTTTAGCTTTAATACCATATGAAGACTCCACGGGAAGAAACGGCAGGGTCACATTTTCTCATTTTGCGATAACTCATTTTTAAACTTTTAAACCTGTATAACTTTTTTATTTTTAGAGAAAAGATTAAAATTTTTAAGATATATTACAAAAATAACCAATTTTTTATGCAATTAAAGTTGCATTTCTAATTTAAAAATAAAAATTTACGTGATATTCTTTCTTTTTTAAGTGAGGTTTTTTGTGGACTCTGCCGTTTTTTCCCCGGTAAAATGTTTTATTTTATTTTATTAGTTTTAAGATCAAGTAAAAAGCTAAAGTATGAATTATTTTTATTAGCTTATAAATTAAATTAGGCAGAAGCTAATTTTATCAAACAACCTAACCACCAAGACCAAATATTGATCATTTAAAAGATTAGGGGGTTGAACTAAAATTAAAAATACTGTTTAGTGTTGATATTTTCGTTTAGAAAATAATTATAGTTTTCGTTAACAAAAGGTTTTATTTTTGTTCTTTTTTCGTGCACAAAAATATCACTTACAGTCAACTCTCAATATCTTTAATACTTGATATCTCAAACTTTTTTGAATCCAGTCGAACCCTTATTTATGAATTATACTCTCGATAACTCAAAAATTCTTTAATCTCAAACTAATTAATCGGTCCCTTGCAGGTTCGAGATATCAAGAGTTGTCTGTAGATATTTTGTATAGAAAATGATTATAGTATTAGTTCTAGTTTTCGTTTACGAATGACTTTAATTCTTATTATAAATCTTTCATTCAAAAATATCACTGTTGATAAAAAAGTTTAATTTGTTTTTTATTTAAAGGTTAACCTATTAAATACCTATATAACTATACCTATATAGGTGTCACAAAACTGTGAGCAAAAAGTTATTTAATGCAAAGTTTCTTTCCTGATAATAAAGGGGATTTAAAACTTCATAGGTTTTCAAACAACTCAGAATTCATTTGATCTGAATTTTTATTTTCATACCCTGACTAATAGTCAAAAGATATATTCAATACCTTGGGATTATTAATTATATAAATTGTTGTATATTAAGTGCAAAGAAGAAACATTAAAGATTACAGATTTTTTCAAAAAACACTAAGAAAAAAATAACTAAAAAAAAACTTTAAATCAAAAAAGAAGTCTATTTACTCTTCATTTTCAGAATCAATAATTTCATGAAATGTCTCAATAACCTCCTGATTGTATGGCAAAGAATCGTAAAACTGAGCATTCGATGTAAACCTTTTTAATACTTGTAAACCTCTGTACTTTGCCACAGAGATGCAAAATTTTGCATTATACAGAATGGGGATCTCACTATTTATAGTGTTCTTCCTATTATTTTTTAAATTAGTTTTCAACAATAACCCATTCCACGAATCACGATGAAATACAATGCCACTTGAGTCTCCTCTGAAACAAATTTCACGAAGAGGACGTGTTGGAATTGGACATTTATTCTTATAAAATGGTCTTATAAAATCAGTTATACTTTTAACCATACCTTATGTTAATTCTATAACATGAAACGGAGTGGGGTTTTTACGAGCATTTGGGTATGGGTGTTTTGCAATTAATTAATCCCATATCTTTATCACATTCCATAAAAGAATGACCACGTTCTGGAAATGTAACTTTAATATAGTCAAACCTTTTTTTTTCATGTACAAGAAAATCCATAAAACGAATTAATGTATAGTTTTTGTTTTGGCCACCACATGAATCACAAAATAGCTCTACAGATCGAATTTCTTTGTCTAAATGTTTTATAAAAAAATCATATAACATCGAAGTTACCTCATCAGCCCCTTTTTTAGCTATAGTTTCATCATAACAATACAAATAAACTTTATTACTGGAGAGCACGTGAATATTAAATGAATAAAATGCTAATTTTCGTTTGTAGTAAAAGTCGTTGGTTGATTGATTTGGTAAGTTAAGATTTTTTTGGAAATCAAAAGCAATTGCCTCAAATTTGTACTCCCTTTGTGCTTTAAACCGAGCATTTATTTTCCTGACATAAAATGTTTCTGCATCTTTTTGGTGCTGTTTTTTCAGTAACTCAAGCTCATGCAATTGTTGTTCAAGCTTTGTACATTCTGAATTAAAAGATAGTTCAATTTTTATTGCATCAATTTTAATTTTAAACTCATCACATTTTGAACATGTGTCAGTCCTAGGGTACCCAAAAGAAATGTTAAAACTAGTGTTAAATATGTTGCGATAAGATTCATATGACAATTTATCATTTGCATACTTGATTTTAAACAAGTCATACATCTTGGTTATATTTAATTCTTGAGGAAGATATAGTCGCCTAGTTTTTTTTTGAGAGTAGTGGGACTCTCTACCTCTGAAAGAAGAAATGTGATCACATATTTTATTTTTTAGTTGAGGAGTAAAATTGTTATACTGATTCTTGTGTTTACCTCTTTTATCATGGGGAGAGTGACCTATAATGAGAAAAAAAAAATTATATATAAAAAAACTTATATATAAGATAACTTCCACTAAAAATAGTCATTTTGTATTCAATAAAAATATATAATTTACCTGTAGTTAAAAGGCTTCTTTTAATGGTCTCTAATCTTCCCTTCTTTATGCCAAAGATTGAAATAAACGCAGAAAAACAAACATAAACAAACGAACTCGCAAATATCTCGTGATTTGTAATAAAAAGTTTATATGTGTAACTGCTATTATAACCTTTTGAATTAATGTTTCGTGGTCTTCTTCTTGAAACGTTATTTAAAGTTATTAAACTTGCAAGATACGAATCTTGAGCATCCTTGCTGGCTAGAGAGTTAAAATATCTTATTAACACTTTTCTATCTTCTTCTTTAACATTATGAAAATATTTCAGCCTTATACAGTTACATCCAAGCCCTGTTTTATGCGATGATAATCTTTGTTACTTTATAATTTCACGCAATCTTTCCTTACTTTTTCTTTTCTTGGATTTCTTTAGCATTTCTATTGGTATTTCAAGTATCGCCATTTTTATTATTTAATTTACATTAACCAAATCACCTGTGCTTATTTTGAAAAACAAAGACTTATAGCCGTAAGTATGAGTCTTGATAATTCAAAAAATAAAAATGGTAAACTTGGTTTATGTCTATTAGTAAGTTGCGAATATTATTTAAATTCATAAACACCTGTCTTTTCGGGGAGGTATGTATTGTATAATAAAAAAAAGTGATTAAGTTCCATCAAACTATAAAGGTACATCCAATTGTTTTTTTGATTTGAATTCAAATAAAATGTATAATAATATTGTTTATAAAGTTAAAAAGTGTAAAATGTCAAAATATTCAAAATGTGACCCTGCCGTTTCTTCCCGTGGAGTCTTCATATGATATTAGTTTTTTTAACAGAATTTGATAATTTACGGTATATAATGCCTTAGGAAAATCATTAAACACTCCTAGTGTAACTTTACTATACAATTAAAAAAAAAAATTATTGGGGAAACGGTATTCGTAAGATGACGACCTACCGTTATCTTTTAAGCAAAACTAAATATAACAGCTGACTTTAGCTGAAAGAGAAGTAGATTATATTTACAAGATTTATTAATGCTTTATTTTTAAATATTAATTTTGTGACGAAAGTTAAGTATTAAAAAGGTTTTTCCAACATTTAGAAAAAACTTTTTATTCTCGTTTGACTTGATTTATTTCATCACTACATCACCAGCAAAAGGTTAGCGAGAAATTTCCATTTAGTTTGAATAATCTGGAAGCCATGCAAGAAGTATTAGGCTATGATAAATTGATTATGTATAGTTCTGATTTATTTTAAGGATTGTATTAGCCTGGGGCAAGATAACCGGGGTAAGATAACTTGTCCTTCATCTTTGTTAAACGTAAGTTTACTTGTACTGTTTGCTATTTTTGTATTGTTTAGTCATTGTTTTGTTTGACAATAGTTTTATTTTGTTGCGTTGGAGTTTGCTACAAACAGATTACGAGGTTGTTTTTTTGCATAGTCCGATATAAATAAATAATTTATTAGTTTTAATAATTACACCTTTATTTATATTATTTTTTTTTATAAACAAGAATTTGTGATGAGAAGAAGGAAAAAATCAATGATATCAGTTAAAAACACAACCAGGTAATGAAGGAAATATTTCCTTTTTTTAAATATAAAAGAGTTTCATACAATTACAAATATACAAAAGATTACAAAATCAAGCCTTATATTCTAAATAATAATAATAAATAAACAGAAAGGTATTCTTTTCATAATAAGTCAAACCTTAAATGTCTTAAAAGTTTTGTTTTAAAACTAAAACTATGTGATCAACATTATTACATCAAATGTTATTACATCAAATGTATAGAGATCGATGACTTTTCCTTGAACTAATTCTCCTTTATCAAATAAGATGGATATTTTATTTACAAGTTCAAACTTTTGTTGATCAACAAAAGTTAGTTCAGTGGAATAATATTTTTGAAACCCAATATGATTTCGAAATATAAATTGATTTTATGTCAAGTAGTAAAAATTGTAAATTGCCTGTCAAAAAAATATTTTGGTTGAACTTTAGTTGCTTTTAATTTATCTGGAAATAACACTAATCACAAAAAAAGATGCTTTTAAACAAAATAAAGATTTTCTAATAATGTCATTATAACCTATATGAATTGCCACGTTACAATTTTGTTTTGTATAGACAATTTTTATGGCTTATGCATGAGAGATTTTCGTTTTATATTTCTCAATAATATAATTGACAGGCCACGTTTTCTTTGTGTTAAATTAACTTTTATCAAATCGATGATATAACTAATTTTTGTACGTTTTTTTACGCTTTTTTATCTTTTTCATTTTTAGTTTTAAGGAACTTTACATAAAATTTTTGTATTCTGTTTGACGATAGACGATATGTTTTATTGATAGTGAAATATTCTGTTGATGCGGCCCAACATCAACAAAATAAGTTAAATGTTTTAAATTCTGTTTCTGATAATGTCATTTTTAATTAATAGTCATCCATGGATTTCAGGTTTCTTTGGTTTTTTATAGAAGTTATTTCTTGAAAGACATTATTAAAAACTTTTTAGAAAGTATTTGATTAACTGCTTTTTCATTTTTCATCGTGCGGTTTATTTTTTAGTTCATCTGGATATGGGTCATTCCATGTCAAATCAGCAAAAAAATGAAGAAATGGTCCCCTTTTTTATTTTATTTTTTTCAATATATAATGAGTTTATGAAAACTACGAAAAAATAAAAGTTGTAATCTCAATATAGTTGTATAAAGCTGTAAACTTTTGTTTTTGAGATATTCAGGTTTAATTTTTCATATTTATGCTAACTTAACATATTTTAAAACATGTCCTATTTTGTTATTATTTAGGGATCGTCCATAAATTAGGCAAAGCTAAATTTATTTAAAAAACAGATGAAAAAGAATTTAGGCTCTTTTGCACAGCGGTTTTCATCGACCAATTAATTATTGGTTTTATGAAAGACATTCCATCGTAAAACTTTTAATAAGTTTTGCTTTAAATTTAGCGTTGCGTTATTTATAGACGATCTCTCATTTTATAAAATAGAAATTAATGCGGTACAATAAAATTTTTTTTTTTTTTGCTTAAGAGATGTGGATAGATTATCGTAGAGTGCTTACTTCATACGCAAGAAGTTCCAACTCGTCAAGGTTCTTTTTTCGGAGTTAAAGAGTAGAGAGACGGTTCCAACCACAATAAAGTAGCCAACTCAATTTTAGTGGTCTTCTCGGTCTTGGAAAAGAAAATAACATAGAAAATAGGAGATAAGTTTATAACTAAGCATAAGAAAAAAATTTTCTGATGTAACATATTTTAAATAGGGTAAAGTTAATTGTAGCTAATCTTGCGATGGATAAATTTTAATATCAATATAAAGTTCGATTTTTTCGTTATTTTTTGAGCAATTTTTAGGCCGGGTGAATAAAAAAAAAGCAATTTCTTTTTTTTATTCACCCGGATTCAAAAAACATCAGCAGTTTTACTCAAATTTTTATTCACGTAAAGTTAAGCAATTTACTCAGTAATTGCTCAGCCTTACGTGAATAAAAACTTAATAAAAGTTGTTCAAGTTTTTATTCATGTAAAGCTGACCAATTATTAAGTAAAAGCAATTGCTAATTTTTATTCACCCGGCTTAATAGCTTAAAATATATGATCTAAAAAATTATGGTCCATTAGGTTTGTCTATAATTTTTTTTTTTATCTGATGCATAGTTACAGCATATCGAATCAAATGCAATTCAAAAGGCTTTAAATATAAATATTGCGTTAAAATCTTATAAAATTTACTTGATAATAGTCATGCTTGATTTACAAATTTAGATGACGTAAACTTTTTTTTAAGAGTTTTCAATTCACAAGATAAAACTATATAATATACATGTGAATGCTCAACGTCAAATAAATGTATTACTTAAATGTGATTGAATGCCACACCTTTACCATTCAAAAAATGTTTGAAACTAAGAAGATTGCACTATAATCAGAGGCGTAGCTACCGAGGAGCAGTTGAAGCAAATGCTCCAAGCGCACAAATATTTAGGGCGCAATTGTTTTTGTACTTTATTTAATTTCCCAGGTAAAACTTACAAGGATCTCTCAATGATATTAAATGTTTAGATCAGAATTGAAGAAATAAACCAGTGGTCACTCTAACCTAATAAAATGACTATATGTTTTCATTTTAAAATAAATAAATGTCTAGATTAAAGTTGTTAGTACTTTTGCCGGGTTTACAAATAGAGATTTTTTATTCTTATATTTAAAATATAGCTACAACAGATATCAACAAGCAGATTTTCTGTTTAAATTATCCGTTTTTTGGTAACCATGCAATTTGCATTTGGTAATTGATAAATTGATTTGGTAATAAATAAAAAAAATGCATTTAGTAATCATGCAAATAAATAATACCCTGGAGATTTTTATAAATTTCTGGCTTTTAAGTTTTTTAAGAACATATTAAACCTATAACTGATGGGGGGAAGCAATAGCTTATACCTAATATCAAGGTATACAAGAAGTGAATACTTTACCTTAATCATGATTTTTATTTTGATTACTGCATGATAGTTCAAATATTTGTTGAAATTTTATCCAATCAACTTTTAAAAAAGTAGTTGATTAAATTACAGCTTTTAAAAGCTTTCAAATCACATGTTTAATCAACGTATTTTCCAAACACAAAGCTGCTATTTTAACTAATCGTTATAATATTTATACACTATAAAATTACTCAAAACTACTTTCGGCTTCGTTCTTCCTCCAGCTTGTCTATTTCACTTCTTTGATTTAATATAAGTCACGGACACTTTTTGATAATTCTGTTTAAGTGGGCACGGGAACTAAAAAAACATTTTTGAAAGTTTAAAAGATGTTAAAAAACGTCTTTATTGCGTCACGTCCCCATTGGGTTAAAATGGTTTTAAAACAAGCATCAATTTCTAAATTAAGTTTACAAATTTGCCGAAAAAAACTCTTTTTTAAAAAGTATTAGATAAGCAATTAGTTATCAAGAATTAACAGAATATGTTTTTATTGTAGGTAACCTTTAAGGTGGTACTACCCTATTAAAAACATCAAAAAAAAAAAAAAATTTTTTTTTCAAATTTTAACAGTTTGAAAATCCTGAATCACGATTATAACTTTTTTTCAAATAAAAAAATGTTATAAAGTACTTAAATTAGTATTTAAAGGCAATAAGGTAATTTTCAAATCCCTAGCAACGGCCTTAGCAACCATGTCTGTTTATATGTTTGCCCAATTTTCACAATTTTTTCATCGGTATTATAAAAAGGTCATTTTGACACAGAACAAAATATTAAAGGTGGTTAATCATATTTTTGTGGCCAGTTTAAATGTTTTTTAATTAGAGATTTTTTTAGTTTATGACATTTTTTGTTTTAAAAGCTATTTTTCTCAGAATAATATTTATAATATATTTTAAAACTAGAACATTGATATCTCAGAAATTACTAACTCTTTTTCTTTGAAATTTTGAC